CTTTGTGTTTTTGCATCCAATTGCAACAAGCCCATGTGTGTCAAACTGGTTGAAGCCCTTTGTGCTGAACATCAGATCAACCTGATAAAGAATGATGACAACAAGAAGCTGGGAGGTTGGGTACTTGGCAAGACTGACAGAGAAGAAAAACCCTGCAAAGTTGTGGCTTGCAGCAGTTGTGTGGTTGTGAAAGACCATGGCATAGAATCTCAGGCTAAAGTTGTCATTGAAAATACTTTAAGTAAAAGAAATGAACAAATAAAATATTTTTTTAGCCTGATACAAAATCATATATCTTTATATTCATCCGCTAAAATGGAAATCAGAAGCAGAAAGAGGATCTGGTGAAAGAAACATGTCATCAACAAACACATTTTGGGGGAAAAAAGTATTCAAGTGACATTTGGAAGTTTCAACCTGTTCTTGCTTGCTTTGGTAAAACTTACTTGACCCGGGTGTTTTATTTTGCATAAACATATTATTTATTTCAAATAAAATGTTTACAAGACACTCAAATGTTCATTTTTTCTTGCCCCTTAATTGTTTTTGTTAATGCACATCATGCAGTTTAGTGTAAAACCACATGTGATGTGGTTTTACACTAAACTGCATGATGTGCATTAAGGGCTCTATTTCAAAGTAGTCTCCAACTTTGGTTACAGTATATTCTGGCGTATAAGACTACTTTTTAACCCAAGAAAATATTCTCAAAAGTCAGGGGTCGTCTTATACGCGGGTGTAGTCTTATGCATGGGAGTCGTCTTAACTCTATATTTTAACTGGAAAAGTTGGGGGTCGTCTTATACACCCAGTCGTCTTAGTAGTCTCCAACTTTGGTTATTTAAGTTCAAAGCCCTTATAAGGTGCTGCAGTACATGTTTGCAGCATGCGTCATAAACTAAACAGTTCACTGTCAAGCTGCCTGAATTAAATGGTTATGTAGATGCGATTTGGGATATACGTGGGGCGTTCATTAAAGATTTCCCCTGACCCACTTCTATTTATCACAGATACTGAAACTACACATGTGTCATGATATAAGTCTCCCTAGGTTACGTGCTAATTTACAACCCAGAACTGGGCACCACAATTCAAGAGAGATATTGACAAGCTGGAATGTGTTCAGAGGAGGGCGACTAAAATGATCAAGGGTCTGGAGAACAAGCCCTATGAGGAGCGGCTTAGGGGGCATGTTTAGCCTGAAGAAGAGAAGGCTGAGAGGGATATGATAGCCATGTATAAATATGTGAGAGGAAGCCACAGGGAGGAGGGAGCAAGCTTGTTTTCTGCTTCCCTGGAGACTAGGACGCGGAACAATGGCTTCAAAGTACAAGAGAGGAGATTCCATCTGAACATGAGGAAGAACTTCCTGACTGTGAGAGCCGTTCAGCAGTGGAACTCTCTGCCCCGGAGTGTGGTGGAGGCTCCTTCTTTGGAAGCTTTTAAACAGAGGCTGGATGGCCATCTGTCAGGGGTGACTTTGAATGCAATATTCCTGCTTCTTGGCAGAATGGGGTTGGACTGGATGGCCCATGAGGTCTCTTCCAACTCTTTGATTCTATGATTCTATGATAACGGTCTTGATTTTACAGGTGCTGAAGTGGTGTGAGGTTTGATAATGGACCCAGTGGACTACAGAGCAGCCATCAAGTTCCTTTACTTGAAAGGCTGCACACTAAAGGAGACATATGAAGAGATTAAAGAGGTTTGTGGTGATGATTCCCCATCATATAATATAGTGAAGAACTGGCATCGTAAATGCAAACAGCTCCCATTCCAGGGCGACCCCACTCTGCTATTGATGAACGCACCATCCAGCAAGTGGAGGTCGCCATTTTGGAAAATCACCGCATAACCATTCTCCACCTAGCTCAAAATGTCAAGATTAGTGTGGGGTCCATGGAAAAAATCATCCAAGAACATGTTCACATGCATAAGGTATCTGCTCGCTGGGTTCCCTGACTGCTCACACCTTTCCAGAAGTAGGAATGAGTCAAATGCTCTCAGGCTCTATGATGTGCCATGGAAACCAGGAGAACATTTTCAACAGACTAATCACACAGGATGAAAGCTGGATCCATCACTATGTTTATTTATTTATTTATTTATTTCATGGAAGCATCTAGACTCACCCTCTCCAAAGAAGGCCCATGCCCAACTCTCAGCAGGCAAGGTCATGCTCATAATATTTTGAGACCAACATGGAGTAGTATTGATGGATTTCCTAGCAAATGGTGCCATGATCACTGGGGCATATTATGCTTCACTTCTGCAGAAATTGCGGGAGGCCATCAAAACCAAGAGACAATGTGGCATGCTCACCAAAGGTGTCTGCCTTCTGCAAGGCAATGCACAAGTTCACAACTCACATGTTGCCCAAATGGAAGAAGCATGCTCCTGTGGCTTTGAAATTCTACCGAACCCCCCTTATTCATTGGACCTCCGATTTCCAAAGTCACAACGTGGCTTTTGGAGCAACATGTTGACTTCTACAAGCGAGATGTTTACAGTTGCTTAAAAAGATGGAGAAGTGTGTGTCCCTAGGTGGCACCAATGGAGAGAAGGACTCATAACTGTGCCAAGTTTCATTGCTCTCGGTCCACAGGAAGTGGGTCAGGGAAAATCTTTAATGAACACCCCTCGTAGAAGTTAAAAACTCTGGCATAGACACCAAGAACTGTGAGGCCCTGACCCTTGAGCGCTCCAGCTGGAAGTCAGCTGTGTCCAGCAGTGCTGTAGAATTTGAAGAGGCACGAATGGAGGGTGAAACAGAGAAACGTGCCAAGAGGAAGGCGCATCAAGCCAATCCTGACTGGGACCGCCTTCCACTTGGAAACCGATGCCCTCACTGCAGGAGAACATGCAGATCAAGAATAGGGCTCCACAGTCACCTATGGACCCACCACCAGTACACAATCCTACTCAAGACTACGATGGATCGCCTAACTAGGTAAGTATCACCTTCTCTTCCCCAACCTAAGTATGCCCAGCTCCTCACAGGACACAGCTTCCAAATCTTTGATCATTTTGGTCACCCTCCTCTGGACATGTTCCAGCTCGTCCACGTCCTTCTTGAATTGCTTTGCCCAGAACTGGACTCGGTATTATTCCAGGCGAGGTCTGACCAAAGCAGAGTAGACTCGGAGTATGAATTGCATCCATCTAGACACCAGACTCCTATTGTTGTAGCTTCCTTTGACTCCTCTTCCTCAAAGTCCCCACTCACCTCTTTACTCTCTCTAACAGGGAAAGAGTGAAGCTGACAAGAAAGACCACGCTGATGCCCACCACGAAGTTCTGCTTCCCAAGCCGTACATGAAAGGGCATGGCATCGGCGATCATCTCCAGCCTTCGGCTTTCTCTGTTTCTCGGTTCCTTCAGGTGTGTCCCATGTAAATGCCACGGAAGCAGTCATCAAAGGCTCAGTTACATCGGCGTTGACGTGTGAAATGAGCCCTGAAAGATCAACACCTCAAGTCATCAAGTAGCCTCTACCCTGTAACTGGGTCTTTGTCCTCAGGCAAAGCCATAACTTAATACAAGGGATATCATAAATTGCTGGGGTGCAACAAAAGCTTTTCTAGCTTCATTCGCTCCAAGAAACCTGCTCAGTCTCTTACTGTAATGATTAAACACTGATCTGAATTCTGTATGCAATATCCAGAGACCAGAGGTGAGCAATAATGTGGGAGTGGGAGTGGCACATGTAATACGCCAGAAGGGACGCTGCATCATTTTGGTTGCCACTTTCAACTCATTTCTTGCTTAGGGGAGTGAGTGGGAAGTGACTTGGAACCTTTCACATCAAACAACTAGCATCTTGGTTCACTTTATCAGCTACTGTATATACTCGAGTATAAGCCTAGTTTTTCAGCCCTTTTTTTAGGTTGAAAAAGCTCCCCTTGGCTTATACCCGAGTCAAGGTTATTTATTATTTTACTCTATTATTATTATTATTATTATTATTATTATTATTATTACTATTATTACATTTATATGTTAGTTTTATTATTTTTATTATTATTACATTTATTATCTTACTCTATTATTATTATTACTATTACTATTATTACATTTATACGTTTGCTTTATTATTTTTATTTTTATTACATATATTATTTTACTCTATTAT